CAGGCTAGCTCTGATTGGTAGTGACACAAGCGCTGGATATCTGGCCGTTGTGAATTTTCGTTACGCAGCGGCTCCGTAAAGTTGAAAGGAGTAACCTAAGTGAATGTGTAGTGTGAAGACGTTAAAATATGTATACACATATGTATGTGTGTGTTTTATTCCATGCGTTTAAGCACTTTACAAAGTAACTTGAAATATCCCACATAAAAGCCTATAAGTTCAGCGATTGCGTAGTGGACTGCAAACTTTCAATCTGAATTCTATTAACTGCATGATGTCATAGAAAACCAACATTTATATAATATGATAACACTTTGTTCCACACAGAAATTTTATGCCTCAGGCTCATTTAACACTTTTCTGAATGCAACAAGGCAAGTTGAATTAACAATGAATCAAGAGGGGCTCTTTTCAGAAGCCCATATTTAAAACATATTCCAAAAGCATTAGAGGAGAGACACTTCTCTTGTCTCCACTTGATATGTAAGCAGTAAACCTGAAGTACAGAGTTCAGTTTAAGTTCATTTTAATAGGGATCTATTAACAACACTGAGCCAGAAGCACTTTAAACCATTAAACATGGTTATAAATATAACATATGAAGAGTTTGGTTCCAAAACGCGATAAATGCCATTTAAAAAAAAAAAAAAAATAGTTACTGCAAAAATCTGTATTGTATCTGGTCGGTCTTGAAAAGCCAATGTTTAATTTTATGTAAAATGCGATATCCGCCGAGTTATTAATGTTTTCTCCCTTTCTTTCCAAACTGCGACAAACGCCAGTCTCCCTTTTCTGCAAAATGCGATACATCCGCTCAACCAATCACAACGCACCATTCCACGCAATGTAAACGGCAGCACTTTAACTACACCCGGCTTCCAGGTTTTCTGTCTATTTTTTATTTTTCGATCAACAAACAAACAAACAAAAAAAATAATAATAATTTTGACAGCATTAGTGAACCTGCAGTGGGTAAGGCATCCTGCATGGGTAAACGTGACCTCAAAATCGAATCATTCACGTGAGGAGATTAAGGCACTCGGGAGGCCGGCTGTTGCTTGTTCTCACACGACGGTATCAAACTTTTGTCACGCTGACACACTGACCCCAGGGGATCTTTTGAAAAACTTTCAGTTTTTTTATTCAAAGTCAACGAAAACCGAGCAGGACCGAGCCATTCTACAGCTGATCGCCGTCAAAAAAGTTCAGAGGTGACGTCCCAAGGTTGACAACAGCGATATGCAGAAGTAACATTAGATCATGCTTAACAAATCATATGTGCTCATCTTAGTTAATGTTTTAATTAGGGTGTTGTTCATCCATGAAGTCATGAATGAAAAACGTTGAACTGTTAAAAAAACGTTGTTAGTTCTTGATGATATTAATGTATGAATGAATGCATAATTCATGCATTCATTTATCCATGAATTCATGATAATTCATGACATGTACCCTTACCGTAGAGTGTTACTGAATATTGTTATAGTAATACAATGTATTTATAGTATGCACAAGAAAACAAATTCAATGTGTATAAAATTTTATTTTGATTAATTGCATTTGTACAATTTTTTTATGGATTTATTGCATTTTGGTAAAACAACAACAACAACAACAACAAAACAATCTGTTTTTAAAATAAATCTGTGAAAATCAAAACCTAGATTTCATATTTTATTGTTGTTATAACCTACAAATGCTATGTGAAAATTTGAAACAGAAAATAGTGGTTTTCATCTTCCCATTATCTTGCTAAAGAAAACACAGTTTTACTCAAATTCATCAAAATGGATTTATAGCGTTTTGGAACCAAACTCTTCATATAACAAAAGACCTTCAACCTGAAGGGTTGTCTCATGATACGCTATTGATACAGAGTTTGTGTGCAGGTACATTTACATTTATTCATTTATCTGATGCTTTTAACCAAAGCGACTTACAATTGCTATGTCAGAGGACGCACACCTCTGGGACACATTGGTGTCTCAGTGGATTTGAACCTGGGTCTCCCACACACTTATCCACTACTCCATCACCACCCCTACATTTATCTTAAGTCTTCAAATTCAAAGCTAAACTGAACTGAAAGTGATTCTTTTGGTTGTTTTTGAGTTTTATTTACCTGTCTCATGAGTTTGAGAAAATGTTAGGGCACTTCTGAAAGCACATTTTTGCCAGAATGTTTTCCACGCTACATCTAAAGTCCCAAGTAAACGTTATTTTCCGTGTTCTGCATCGTCTCGAGCACATTTGTGTTCGTACAGCTCTCAAAACTCAAACGCTCATGAGCGCGGATGGATAATGGGCCCTTAAAAGTACATGGTGATGAAACAAATATAAAATCAGAAGGAAAAAATAAAATTCTTGCAAAAAATTGTTCGCTGGCAAAACCTCGCTCGATCACAAAACCTTTGAGTTCCCATGCAAAAATTTTGCGTTCCTCCGAGAAACTTTGTGTTCGATCACAAAAATTTTGCATTCCTTTAAGAAACTTAGAAACCAAGAAAATGAGATTGGACCACGCTATCGCACGACCAATTCATACGAATTCGTACGAGTGATTTAAAAGTGGCTAATTCGTACTAATTCATACGACCTCACTCGTACGAATTCCTACGATTTGTCTAAACCCACGTGACGGTTATGTTTAGGGGCGGGGTCAGGGGTAGGTCATTCGCACGAATTCATACGAATTGGACAATTCGTAAAATATGTACGATTTAGCAAAATCGTACAAATTCGTACGAGTGAGGTCGTACGAATTGTTACGAATTAGCCACCTCGTAAAATTCGTACAAATTCCCATGAGATCGGGTTGGATTGAAGGAAAAATTATGCTCCCACATTTTTTTTCGTTCCCATGCAAAACTTTTGCGTTCACTTACAAAACGTTTGCGGTCCCCCGGGAAACTTCCACCGCATTCTCCTCCCAAGATGTCATAGACATCCAACGCACATGGCACCCTTTGGCGTCAAATGAGACGCTTCGGTTATGGTATATTTAGGGACTGTGTAGGGTTAGGGTTAGACCACTAGGAGGCGCCTTCTGCCCAATATATATCTGTGTCTCATTTGACGCTAAAGGGTGCCATGTGCGTTGGATGTGAGAATGGGCTCAAACTTCACAAACTCAAAAGTTGTGCGAGAGCGAACGCAAAGTTTCATAGGGGAACGGAAAAAATTGCGAGAGAATAATTTTTCCTCCCATCTCATTTTTTTTTTCAATCACAAAACAAAAATGATGGCGAAGGATATGCTGTTTCGTATTGCTGTTTACACACTCTTCTTTGACTACAGCACAGTAGTGTGCATATCGCCATCTAGTGGACTCTTCTGTCTCAACATTCATCTTGCGCTGTTGTACGCGCACCAACCGACGACGAAAATTACGCCGTGGCCAAAATACACTTAAGGCTTCAAATTCCCACAATAGCTAACACAAGTAATAGGCTAATGCAAGCATTAAAAGCTTCTTCAAACGGAAAATGCGTAATATTATGGAAGGGTTGCTCACAGTGCATTATTCCCAACAATATGCCAGTTACAAGAAAAATAATGAAACAGTGGATATTTCCCGTGTATGACAGCAGCAATCTAGTCTGATAACTTTCGCAATGGGTACTAGATTAGAACCGCATGGTGCAAACATTGCTCACTGTGTTGTGTTGTTGACGGACAGAGAAACTGCTGGTTTGGAAATGGCAAGGGAGATTGGTCATGCAAGCAATATCAGCAGATAACGATCCACAAATAAAGCAATGAAGAAAAAAAAAATGAACCGAAATCGAAAAACATGGCACTCACTGACAACACAAATACATTCAACGGAAAATAAGAAGAGCACAAGCAAACCAAACAAAATAAAAGAGTCAATTAAAACAAACATGACACTGTTGAAGATCATTGCAGGTTTTTATATATTTGGTCAATGGGAGAGATGCTGTTTTGACTGTAGCTGCAGATCTTCAGTTCATGGACAGTCTTTCAGAAGAAAAGTCTATTCTAACCGGATGGCGTGAAACAATTTTACAACGAAATGTTTTATCATGGGGGTTTCAAACTTGGAGCCAGGAGAGGGCTTCAAAAAATATCACTATAAAAAAGCACTATAAAAACAAACTGAAAAGGTTATATATATATTTTTAAAATGACAGTTGTTCCCCATTTCGTGATTTCATTTGTCTTTAGTGCGATATAAAAAACAATATAAAAACATAAAATTAAATTATTACACAGACACTATATGTTTGTCATTTACCTAATGCATCTACACAGTCTAAATGGGTCTTTGTACACAACAACGTATCTGCCTTTATATTTTATTTATTACATACCATCATATAATTATAATATAATGATATATTTAGATGCACCAAACAGTTTGAAATCCCCTGATTAAGGGAATCAAAAGAGCTTTTTATATCTACAGGACAACTGTTTTAATAATTGAATACATACTAAGAATTCATTGAAATAAAATGCCAATTTTGAATGTAAGAGTGCATGCTGGAACATTAAAGTGAAGAAACATGAATTTGAGTTTCATGTCGCTGTCTTGTTTAACCAAATTACGTAATTATGCTCATAAATGTCTGATGTCTGTTACATAACGTACTTTTTCTATACTTAAGTCAATCCATAATTTAAATAAATATAACCTCTAAGACCGGAGGGCTTCAGCTGCAAACATATAAAAAGTTAAACCTAACTGGATGTTGATTTAAAAATGAAATGTACGCCCATCTCACAAGCCACAAGGTCAGTCCCTCATTAGGGGGTACAACTCACAATTTTACGGTAAACTGCCATTCATGCTTTTGAGGAAATAACTCTCAGTGGGAGTTCCGCGTGTGAGATTTTCGTGGGAACTGAAATTCATCCGATAAATGCTTATCAGCACGAGGTGATCTTGCAATGATCTTACGGTCACTGTTTGCTGTAATCGACTCCAGACGAGTAACACAGATTTACCATAAAATAGTAACAAAGGGTAGACTCACAGATAGAAAACTTGTTGCTGTTGTCTTTGCCAGGGAATAATTTTACTCCTCTAGATTTGAAATCTACAGACCTTTTCACTAGTTAAAGGGGAATAAAGATGAAACAAAAAAAACATGAAATCAGATTAGAAATAAACTTGTCAGCATTGAAAAAATAAACCATCATCAAGCGCATGAGAGAGAAGAGCAGAAAAGTATAGCAGAGTTGACGATTTCCGAAGTGCTCTGCGAACAGAAAATATGGGCATGTGTTGCATAAAATGAAAAAGTGAGATTAATAAAGGAGTGGTGGGGGACAGGACTTCTGTTCAGTTGTCAACCTTGACAAGGGGAAGATTTCAGCTTGTGCTGCATGTCTACACCTCTGGATGTGAAGCAGACTTTGAGAAGTATTTGTGCTACAAACGTCTGCAGGTATTAACTTCGGGAGGAAAGGGGCTGTTTGACATGCATGCAGAGACAAATGGCACGGTCCTATAGGGCTAATCCGGACAAGCATGTGGCCCAGCATGTCAAAGGTCAAACAGAAGTCTTGTTGGGAATGTAAAACCTATTAATAATAACTCTTAATATTTGAAAACATTGTGGAAAATGCTTTCTCTGCATCTTCTTCCCTATGTGAATGGTGCATTAAATCTGCTAACTAATAAATGCTTCATGAATGCAAAGCAACACAAACAATTCCTGGTCGTCACATTAGTTATGGGAGCACGGACCTGGAAATGAACCCTGGTGATGTGATGTGACAGAGACTAGGACTCGGGAACAGGGATGAAAATTAGAGCTTCCATAAATTATGTTATATTGTACGGAAGCGTATTGCAAAACAAAATCTACTCTGTTTTTCTGAATTAACAAGTTAATTATCTCAGAATTACAAGAAAATTTTTCACGGAGAAAATTGTTTTGCTCTGTTTTTCTGAATTAACGAGTTATTTATTTTAGAATTAAGAGATAATTTGTCATGTAATTTTTTTTGCTCTGTTTTTTTCTGAATTAACGAGTTAATTATCTCAGAATTATGAGATTATTTTTCATGGAAAAAATGGTTTGATCTGTTTTTTTCTGAATTAACAAGTTAATTATTTTAGAATTGCGAGATCATTTTTCAAGGAAAAAAATTGCTTTGTTTTTCTGAATTAACGAGTTAATTATCTCAGAATTACGAGATAATTTTCCAAAGGAAAAAAAATTGCTCTGTTTTTCTGAATTAATGAGTTAATTATCTCAGAATTACGAGATTATTTTTCAAGGAACAAAATATTTGGCTCGGTTTTTCTGAATTAACAAGTTAATTATCTCAGAATTACGAGATCATTTTTCAAGAAAAAAAATGCTCTGTTTTTCTGAATTAACGAGTTAATTATTTTAGAACTATGAGATCATTTTTCATGGATTTTTTTTTGCTCAGTTTTTTCTGAATTAACGAGTTAATTATCTCAGAATTACAAGATCATCTTTCATGGAAAAAAGGTTTTTGCTCTGTTTTTTTCTGAATTAACGACTTGATTGTCCCAAAAAGTATGAGTAACTCATTCATTCATGAAAAAAAGTGAAAAAAAAATGTTTTCAAGAAAATATATGAGATAATTATCTCATTAATTCAGAAAAACAGAGCAAAAACTTTTTTCCATGAAAAATTATCTTGTAATTCTGAGATAATTAACTCGCTAATTCAGAAAAACAGAGTAGATTTTTTTCTTCAAGTGAATGCAATACGCTTCCGTAATACTGGAATGATTTTCTGTCAGTAAATTATTCTGTAAGAAATATTTTGAACACGTGGAATTAAAAGCAACAGCAAAACTCTATGCAATTTGACACATTAAAACTGCATCTGTGGTATTTTTTGGCATTTGGATTTATGAATATTCCTAGAAAACAACTGTTTCCCATAATAGAGCAGTGCATTTTTGTCCTGAAGTGGAAAAAGAGAACAAAGTAGAGCTCTTAAGTTTGTGTAAACCTGTCTTAGAGAGGCCATGCAAGTGCACATTCAACAGTAGCTTCATATAGAAATATGTTGATTGCATTTTTGTTGAAAAGGGGCCTACATTTCAGTTATTAGACATAAATTCAGCCTATGAATATGAATGAAATACGATGTTTGCCCACCCTTACATAATCTTAAACATCCACAAGATCTTATTCTTTAATGACAAAGATTTAACCTTTGACAAATACGAACACAGCACACATTCAGATCTGTGTCCTGACCCAGAGACAGCAGTCGTCATGTAAAGATATGAAACAGCTTCACAATTGTCAGTGCAAAAAGTCAGATATAGTAGATCAAAACTATGTATTATAGCCACTCTGAAGAAAACTGCACTAGTTATTATAGCTGATCCTGGACCATTAACATCTCATTTAAAACCACCAATTTCTCTTGCTTCCAGAGATTTATCATCATTTCAAAGTACAAAGAACATTATAATTAAAGAAATGGTCTGGCTACAATGCGTTTTATAGAAAGTACTTCAGGCATAATGCTGCTAGACACAGAATATAACACAATCGTTTCTATTTTCTTTAAAAGTTCACAATCACAGTTGCAGCAAAACCAGCATCGGTTAAATGACGTCTTGGGATGAGACTGTGTTATGTTTTTTACTTGGTAATTCCTCCAGTTTCAGTGGAAACTGCTCAAAGGGCTTTAAATGACAGACGATGAATAAGGGTCTTATCAAGCGAAACTATTGCTCATTTTTTTTTTAAAAAAGCTTACGTTTTATAAGCTCAAATGGTCGCCTTGATCTGTTCTGTCAGAGTTGGGAAAGTTCACTTTCTACATGAACTACTAGTTCAAAGTTCAGTTCACACATTTTAAAAGGAACTAGTTCAGTTCATAGTTCATACTTCAAAAAAATGAACTAGTTCATTCATAGTTCTTTTTTTTTTCATATGTTGCAAGCTTTTTTATTTTTTATTGCCAGAGCCCATATACAACCACAGACAACAATTATTTTATCGACGGGCAGTTTGCACAGAAATGTAAGATTTTTCCCATCCTCACCGACCTCGTCATAAAATCCGTTTAAATGATCATACGACGCCTCCTCACTCGCTGCTTTGTCGACGGCGGACGCGGTGCGACACTGGTGTCTTGTGTTGCCAGATTGGGTGGTTTTTTCGCTACATATTAAGGCCTGTTTATGTGTTTTTTAGCCAGGTTTTCGCCTGGAAGGCTCTATAGAAATCTGGCGCCCTATTGAACGAAGTTAAACTGAGAGAACGTGTGTTCACAGATGTCAGAATGAACGTGTTCACAGTAATGTTAATCAGGCAGTAATACAGTACGTTCAGTTCACGTTCACCCAAAATAACGCGTTCAGGCACAACACTGTGTTTCTGTGATGTGCGTTCGTGACTCTCCTGTTCGGACTCGTTTATCAAAATGAACAATTTTTTTTTTCGAGTCATTTCGTTCATTCAACAAGCTAAATGAACGAATTGACTCTGGAAAATATTTGTTAATTTTGATGAACGAATTCGAACAGGAGAGTCACGAACGTGCAACACAGAACAGAGCAAGGCGACCATTTGAGCTTATAAAACTTAAACTTTTTTTTTTTTAAAGGGATACTCCACTTTTTTTGGAAATAGGTTCATTTTACAACTCCCTCAGAGTTAAACAGTTGAGTTTTACCGTTTTCGAATCCATTCAGACGGTTTTCTGATATTTAGAATAATATCTGTAACCAGACAGTTTCTGGTCTCACTGACTTCCATAGGAAATACTATAGTCAATGAGACCAGAAACTGTCTGGTTACAGATATTCTTCTAAATATCAGAAAATCGGCTGAATGGATTCGAAAACGGTAAAAATCAACCGTTTAACTCTGGGGGAGTTGTAAAATGAGCCAATTTCCAAAAAAAAAAGTGGAGTATCCCTTTATATGAGTGATCGTTTCGCTTGATAAGACCCTTGTTCATCGTCTGGAATCGTTTAAAGCCCTTTGAACAGTTTGCAGTTTGCACTGAAACTGTCTTCTGGACCTTGAACCGTTTGGACCACATTGAAGTCCATCACATGGAGAAAAATCCTGGAATGTTTTAATCAAAAACCTTAATTTCTTTTCGAGTGAAGAAAGAAAGACACGGATATCTTGGATGACATGGGGGTGAGTAAATTATCAGCAAAGAGTTTTTTTTTTTTAAAGTGAACTACTCGTTTAAGGGGTATGTTGGATGACGCTCTTATTGGTTTGTTTCCCGTTACGGCCAAACCACATCTATGAATAATGAAGCTACTTCAGACCAACCCCTTTTAGATTTGCGTCAAGTGCAAGAGTTATTTATCCTGCCGAGATCCACCCACAAAGTTACTTGGGCTTTGCGCTTGACACTTGGGTTTTAGATCGTTAAAATAGGGCCCTATGTCTATTTTTAACTAAACAGAATATTTGGATGATGCAGTTCCAGAATGGCAGGTGATTAATACACCAACAGAATCCGGTTGAAAATTAAATCATTCCATCAACACCTGAAGGAACCTCACTTTCATTATTGAGCATCCATTAACCACCCACCACATCAGCACATCACCATAAATAAATAAAAACCATTGAAAAACTTATTTCGAAAAAGCACTTTAAGATTTCAACATGGACTTATTTAGCATTAATTTGAATACACTATTAGGCACGCCCAGATCCAAAGGTTCAGTAAATTATTCTGTAGATGGAAATTTGCTCTGGCACCTATTTCTACTTAAAAGGTTTATGCTGAATAAATCATTTGACGTGAGACCTGCAAATGAGACGCTCCGCAAGTGACAAAACGTTAAAACCGAGGATAGGACTGTTGACCTTAACCAATGACATGACATTAAACCACTTTTAAAGGTACATTAAAACGCACTGAAATTACACATAATGCTAATTGCCGTAATTCTTACTTTTTAGCTTAAACCTTTTCAGCTGCGGCACATCATCTCATGATAGGGCTGAGACATTCTATCATTATAAGCGTGAGTAGAAACACTGACATAAGATTAATTCAAAAGTTTGGCAGAAATACCTACTCGCCAGAATTATGGTGATGGCGACGGATTACTGTTTTGAAAATGAGAGAC